GTCAATTAGTGGTAGTGACTTTAACCTACTGTTAGAAAAAAGAAGATTAATTTAATTTGGACAAAGTAAAATTTGGAAAACTGAATAATGCACAAAGACAAAAGCTAAATTTCAAAGCCAAGTAAGAAATTCAGTAGAAACTATTTCAAATTCTTGATTGATTACTGAGATTATGAAAGATATAACTATATTTAATAGTTAAAAGCCAAAGGTTTTAGGAAGTCTGAAAAGGCAAGCTAGAATAAAGAATAGATGCTCTCAGATGGGTTGCAAAGGTTATACCATTCAGAATGGAGCTAGTAAGATGTGACAGGAAAGTGAAATTGTTGATTTCAGAAAAGTAACTTCATAATTACATATTAATGTTGATTCCAATATAATTTCAATTATAGCAGAAAGGAAGCAGTTTATATCTATCAATTAAATTTGGAGGCTCAGACTTGTAAACCAAATAATCTTAAAACTTGGGAGTAAACTAAAATCAAGTTATTCCTCTGTGTGCATAAAACATTCACAGCTCTTTGTGAAAATAATTTTTACAACAGAAGTTTTGAAATAAGAAAATAAAAATTTAAAAGTAACCTTCTGACCCAGAAAGAATTGACACCATTTAGAAATCAAAGATAACCTAAATAAATAGACATACTGTGTTTAAGAATTGGGAGATTCAATATAGTAAAGATGTCATTCTTCACAAATCAATTTAATGCAATTCTTATCAACATACCAGGAAGGTGTTTGTACACATAAACAAGTTCATTCTAAAATTTATATGGGAAGGCAAAGGACCTAAAGTAGCTAAAAATTTTTAAACAAAGTGTAACATGAGAAGAATCACTATATCTGGCATTAAGGCATTCTAGGAATCCTTAAATTAAGACAGTATGGTAATGATAGAAGGAGGAACACATAGATTAATAGAACAGAACAGAGAATCTAGAAATAAACCCACAAAAATGTGTCCAACTAATTTTTGATAAAAGTGTCAAAGCAATACAATGGAGGAAGAATAGCCTTTTTTTAACAAATGGGGCTAGAGCAACTGGGCATCCACAGACCCCCCCCCCCCCCCCCAAAAAAAAAAAAGCCTGAACCTAAATCTCGACACCCTGCCCCAAAATTAAACTCAAAATATAAATCCTGGACTTAAAACAAAATCTTTATAAAATACCAAATTGTGGGGCCGGGGTTGTGGCTCAGTAGTGGAGCGCTTGCCTAGCATGTGTGAGGCACTGGGTTTGATCCCTGGCTCCACATATAATAAAAAAATAAAATGAAGGTATTGTGTCCATCTACAACTACAAAAATACTTTTTAAAAATACCAAATTGTATACCTTAAATGTGTGTGTGTATGTGTGTGTGTGTAAAATTTTCGTCAATTATACCTCAGTAAAACTGGAGGAAAGTCCTTTTGGGAAAAGTACAGGCGATAGATACTCTGAGGCAACTGGGATAGAGGCAAAGAGTTCCTAGGCTCAACACCAAAGCACAGTCAATAAGAAAAAAATATGATATATTTGATCACATCAAAATTTAAAACTCTCTCAGAAGACCGTGAAGCGGAGGAGAAGACAAGCTACAGATTGGGAGAACATATTTACAAATCACACATCTGAAAAAGGACTTGTGTCAAGAATATATAAAGAACTCTAAAAAATCCACAGGAAAAGCATAATAATCCAATTAGAAAAATGACAAAACAGGGCTGGGGTTGTGGCTCAGTGGTAGAGATCTTGCCTAGCACATGTGAGGCACTAGGTTCAATCCTCAGGACCATATAAAAATAAATAAATAAAATAAAGGTATTGTGTCCATCCACAAAATAATAATAATAATAATAATAATAATAATAATAATAATGATTAATTTTTTAAATGGCAAAACAAAGAAAATAAATAGACCTACAGATATTGAATAAGCACATAAAAAGATTATCCATCCTCAGCCATTAGGAAAATGCAAATTAAATCACAGTTAGATGGTATTACACAGCTATTAGAATGGCTGAAATTAAAAACAGCATAAACTCCAAACACTGACAAGAATATGGAAAATGGACAGTTAAATATTGCTGGTGTGTAAAATGGTACCACTACTCTAGAACAGAATGGCGTTTTATACAGAACCAAACATATATTTATCTTACAACCCAGCAGGTATACTTTTAGACATATAGCTCAGAGAAATAAAAACTTTTGTTCACACAAAAATCTGTATATGAATACTCATAGCAGTTTTGTTAGTTAATAGCCAAAAACTGGAAATAAACCAAATGCCCTTCAACAGGATACATTGCAACACTCCGCAGTACATCTATACCATGGAATAATACTTGGGAATAAAAAGAAACTACTGACACATTCAACAACTTGGATGAGTGTATATGTGAAATCTGCCAACATCAAAGGTTACATGCTGTATAATTCTATTTGTATAACATTCTTGAAATGACAAAACTATAGAAATGGCAAATGGATTAGTATATGCCAGAAGTTAGAGGGGAAGGGAAGAGGTAGCAATGGCTATATCAGGGTAACACAAAAGATCCCTGTAATGAAACTATTAAGTATCTTGAATGCGTTCATGGTCACACAAGTCTGTACATTTGATAAAATTTTATGTAACTACATATATATATATCATCAAAAGCTGAATAAGTTTGATGGATTATATTAATGAATCACAACCAATTTCTTCATTAGAATGTTGTATTATAGTTATGTAATATGTTACCACTGGGGAAAACTAAGTAAAAAGTATATGGAATCTTTCTTATAATTTTCTTACATATGCATGCCCAACTACAGTGAACTTAAAATATTAAGATTTTAAAAATCCAGTATGAAAAACAGATTGAGGACACTATATTGTTAACTGTTTCAAAGCTTATCATTACAGATGAAAGATTTTTGTGCTCCCAAGTGAACAGTCCTATCTACAACTTATTTTCATCTACAACTTGGAATCCACACACTTATCCCCATTTTTCCTATCCTTGTTTCTGCTCTCTCCTCTACCACCCACCCATCAACCTCCTTCATAACTGGCTATAAGAGAGAACTGCAATTTACAGCTGTTTATATGTATGTATGCACTGTAATTTCTTTCTTTCTCTGTAGTTTTATTCATCCTCTCTGTTTTTACCACATATATTAATCAGCATTTTGGATTATTTATTTATTTATTCATTTTGGGGTGCCAGGGATTGAAGTCACGGGCACTCAACCACTGAGCCACATCCCCAGCCCTATTTCGTATTTTATTTAAAGACAAGGTCTCACTGAGTTCCTTAGTGCCCCGCTAAATTGCTGAGGTTGGCTTTGAACTCTTAATCCTCCCTCCTCCGCGCTTGCCACTGGGATTACAGGCCTAGGCCATCACACCAGGCCATGGGTTATTTATTCCTAATTTAAAAATCCATTATGTGGCACATGTTCTAATTCCCTTTAAAAAGTAATTCAATTCATGTCTTCATAAATGTACTTTGGATAATGATGTCCATCACATTCCACCATTATTGATAACCTCCTACTCCCTCCCTGGTGTGAACAAACTTTATATACAAATAGAGATATGAAAAATTGTGTTCTATATATGTGATAAGAATTGTAATGCATTCTTCTGTCATGTATTTAAAAAATAAAATCAGTTAAAAAACAAAAATTTGTTCTAACCCCTTGAGGGGTTCTAAGGATATGGACTTGCAGCCTGTTCCTTGGCGCACCTGCTGGTGAATCTGCACCAACAGCTTGTGAATAAATGTTTCATATCCTGCTTAAATAAACAAATAAATAAATAGATAGATAGATAAATAAATGAATGAATAAATAAATAAATAATTCAAGGAGCTGGGGTTATAGCTCAGTAGTACAGCACTTGACTAGCATGTGTGAGGCACGAGGCTCAATTCTCAGCACCACATAAAAATAAGTAAAATAAAGGTCCATTGATAAGTAAAAAGAAAGAAAGAAAGTACTTTAAAAACAAAAAAGTAATTCAAGTGCCAATTCCTTATTGAATGATGATAACTGCTTTCAGTCCCCATCCCACCTCATGGTAAATAACCCTAACATAATGACTGCAAAATTTAGAGAATAAACTAGGAATCTTTTCTGGCCACTAATACACACTGTATTTAATAAGCCACTGCCCCTGTGCATGGCATTGGTATACTAGCCATGCTTATTATACAGACTAAGTACTATAATAGGCTATGTATTAAAAAATAATTAATACAGTACAGAAACTTAATTTACTTACAGTTCTGGGTGTTCTTTGCTCAGAAAGCTCTCACAGCAGACATTATTCCCATAAATTTTGCTTACCTTTACTTTCTAAACTACTTATTAATTATAAGTAACAGAACCCAACATAAGGTTTCTGTTTGTTAGATAGCAAGTGGCAATCTAATATAAGTTCCATGTGTAAAAGTCATGAAATAGGACTCTTTTTCTTCCTTTCTCTAAAAAAAGGAAAAAAAAATCCAAAGATTTTTACTCTCAGGCCTATTAGTTATTCAATATTCTACCATCTACCCTTATATAAGGTTTTGTTTTGGGGAGTACGGAACATACCTTGCCCCAAATGATGTATTATGCATATCTATTACAAATGAACAAAAAGGAAATCATAGATCAGGTTTCTTATGTTATAGTCCTGAAAGGTCAGTTTTATGTAGCCTCACTACTATAGTATAATTTTCAATTTTAAAGAAACAATCAAATAGCCAAATAAGAATTTTTCCCTCAAATGACTAAGATCCCTGGAATTAAATATTCATTCATCAATATGTGGCTTATTAACATATACAATCTTTTTGGCATCTTGCTCTTAAATATACAATCTTAAATTTTCTGTAGTTTCTTACTTGGATAATACTAAAAATCATTTTCATTTATAAACAAGTATGAAATTGCAACAAGCTATTTAATCAGAGCATATGAAATGTCCAATGAGAAACAATCCAAGACAGCACAATTAGAAGCTGTGAAAATTTTACCTTAATTCTTCTCTCAGTGTCATCTAACTTTAACTCTGCTGAAACTAGTTTCTTTGCCAAATCATCTCGTTCAGGTAGGTGTCTAGCTTCAGAGATCTTTCTCAGTTTCTCTAAGGAAAATTTTGTCCTAAATAGTTCACATTCTGCATCTTTCACCCTTTTTTCAGTTGCTCGTTCCTTCTCTTGAGATTTTCTTAAGCGTTCTTTGAGTGCTGTAATTTCATTGTTATGACGAACTACAAGTTGTGAGATTTCAAGTTCTGCATCTTCAAACTTATTCAGGGCTTTCTCCTGTCTGTACTGAAGCCTTTTCAAAGCTTTATTTTCTTTTAGCAGCTCAGCTAACTTGACCTGAAGTTCAGATACTTCATTCTGCAACTCATTGATTTTTAGCAGTCTTGCAGAAAGAACCCGTTTTGTGACAATATCAGAATTTTTCCGAAGTGGTTCTCTATTGAGGCTTTGGGAACGAATTCCCACTTGGACTCCTTTTTTGTTTGGTAGACCCTTAGGGCTTGGTTTCCTAGAGGCTAAAAAAGAGACAATAATAATATACAGTGAAAGCTATACCAAATGTATATGTAGTATCATTTATTCATCCAAACACATGTGAGTCCATAACATTCTTTATTTTTGTTTTCAAAAAAGAATTTTTCCTGCCAGGCATAGTGGCTCCTGAGGCTGAGGCAGGAGGATCTCAAGTTTAAAGCCAGCCTTACAAGGGGGAGGTGAGTGAATGAGTGATTGAGCCCCTGAGTTCAATCCCTAGTAACAAAAAAAAAAAAAAAAAGATTTCTTCCAATATTTTGTTAAATATCAGATTTTATTTCGAGCGCCAACATATTGGTTTAGGTACTCACTTCCCTAAAGAGCTCTTAATATATTTCTATTAAGAAAGGTTTAGGGTCTTCTAAGAAAGATAAAGAATATTCTATCTATCAAAAATGGCATCCCATTTTCCCTGCATGAACCAGGCCCTGGGGTTCAATCCTCACCATTGGGGGAAGGATTATTCACACTGCTTAAAAAGATGGCAGCCTAGGGTTGTAGCTCAATGGTAGAGTGCTTGCCTAGCATGTGTAAGGCACTGGGTTCGATTCTCAGCACCACACAAAAATAAATAAATAAATAAAATAAAAGTATAATGTCCATCTACTACTAAAAAAATTTTAATAAAAAAGATGGCAGTATCAGGCTTTAACCACCTTTAATTTTATGAGATGACAAGTCAAAATTCAAACAGGGGCATCATTAGCATTGGAATGCTATAAAATAAACATTGGCCAAAACATTGTGATATTTAAGTCATCTATGCCAAGAAAATTGGAATCCTTATTTATTTGGTGCCAGGGATTGAGTCTAGAGGGGCTTAACCACTGAGCTACATCCCCAGCCCTTTTCTATTTTTTATTTTGAGACAGGATCTCACTAAGTTGCTTAGTGCTTCTCTAAATTGCTGAGGCTGGCTCTGAACTCACAATCCTGCCTCAGCGTCCCAAACTGCTGGGATTACATGTATGTACCATGATGCCCAGCTGTAATCCTTATTTTAAACATGAAAAGTTTTCTTCTGTATTAATTACAACTCCTTTTCTTCATTTGGGGAAACAGAATGGCAGCTTATAGTATAGTGAGAAGATTTGAGATTCGAGATTTACCACTTAATAACCCCCTTGGGCAATTCAATTAAACCTTTTCAATTCTATTTTCTCAACACGCAGGATGAAGATAACACTATATACATAAATAGATTGTTGTTAAGTAAGGTATACATGTAAAAGAGGAACTTCTTCAAAGTATTCTCTGTTAGTAATAAGAACTTATATCCCAATTATCAGAAACTGAACAAAGGAAAACAGTTGTACAAGTGTGTTTCTATATACTTTCTTGGGAAATTTCTTTTGTGTAATGTTCATATCAAAACATCAACATAATTTGAGAACAAGAAAAAAAGATCACATTCTATTAAAAATAAGCATATGAAATATTTAAAAGTCTACATATTAAATTGTAACATTCTCAAAAATTTGGTATGTTTTATTTTTATTAAAAGTTCATTAAAATTAAGCCTCAATATACAGAGTACCTACTTGCCCTTTAAAAGAGTCATCTGAAAATTTGCCAGAGTTAAGATAATAAACTTTAATCTCTGAGGGATTTTTTCCTCCTCATTTTTTTCCTCTCAAGGAAGAAATACATTCCAGATTAAAAAGAAAGAAAAGAAAAACTGAAAGATCCAATCTTATACCCTTCCCCATCTCACTATTCATGGATACCTGATTCATTAAGGAAACAAGAAAAAATAACAACTAATTTTTATAATTTTACATTATAAAGTTTCATTGAAAATATGAAAATTTCACAGACTGTTTTGAATGTACACTGATTTAGAATTCTAGCTCTATAAATGCTCAGATATAAAAAAAAAAGTGGCAGCAATAAAAGAAATGAGAGAATGACTGATTGAAACTATATCTATCCAAGATGGTAGACGCTAGCCACATACAGCTTTGGAGAAACTTGAAATGTGGTAGTCTGAATAGAGATATTCTATAACTGTGAAATACATACTAGATTTTGAACAGTTAGTTTAAAAATGCAAAACATTATACTATTTCATACTGACTATACAGAAATAATACTTTATGTTGGGTTAAGTAAAATTAATTTCAACCATATTTCTTTTTTGATGTAGTTACTAGTAAATATAAAATGACATGTGTTGCTTACATTTGTGACTTGAATTACATTTCCATTAGACAACATTGCTTTAGAATGTAATTTTGAATTTGGAATGTCCATTATTTAAATTTCCTTTCCTTCTTAACAACTGAGATAGCAGAGTTTTGAGTTATAGACTATCTACTCTGAAAGGATTGATACATGTTGATAGTTTTCAAATCGAGATGAAATATAATGTTAATAGAAGTAAGAAGAAAAAAGATAATTGGCTGTCCTGTTTGACATTCTTCTCTCCCTTGTTATGTCACTATCAAAAAATGGGTGGAAAGATACTGGGTTTTTTCTTCTTACTTCAGTTGTTCAAAATGAAATATGACTCATTTTTAAAATTCAGTAAAAATAAACTCTGTATCTAACAAAAAAATCAAGATACATTTATATTACTGATAAGAAATAAATATGTAATATACAAACATGTATAACCAAAACTATTATTGTTATTATACAACCAGGTGCAGTGGCACACTCCCATAATCCCAGCGGCTCAAATAAAGAGCCAGCCTCAGCAAAAGCAAGACACTAAGCAACTCAGTGAGACACTGTCTTTAAATAAAATACAAAACAGGGCTGGAGATATGGCTCCGTGGTCAGGTGCCCCTGAGTTAAAGTCCCAGTAGCCCTCCCTTCCCCTAAAATATGTTATTATACAAAGAAATTCTAATAATATTATTTTATTTTAAAAATAAGAAGATTTGCTGAAAATTTATAAGAAAAGAAAGAATATACTATAAAACATGAAAACCTGAGAATTCAAGTGATTAAGATACTGCTTTCATCATATTTGTTTTTTCTTAATCTATATTAGTTGCAATTAAAACTTAGAGAAATTAACTTGGTGTTCAAATAAAAATATCAGTTTAGTTCTATTATTTGATCTAAGATGGACAAATGAACACAGGTTTTAATTCAAAAGACAGTGGAAAACAGAAAACAATATGAGACAGATGGAAAATGATAATTGATAATTCCTGGTTGATACTGGAACCATTTTTCACAGCTTTTTCTCCATATCTTCTCAAAAAGATAAGGCTTACCAAATTCTGACTCTAATTGGGTGACTTGGTAAGTTGCTTTTGGGGGAGGAAGGAAAAATTAAAGTACTCCTTACTTAATAATACCTTAAGTATGTTAATAATTTCTTAGGAATAACAGGCATTTTCTAAGATCCAATTCTAAAAGATATTTGCTCTTAATTATAAAACAGAAGCTTAAGATCATGCTCTCAATTATGAAACTAACAAGATCTTCTCACTGAAACAGGTTTGGAGGAAGGGATCCATACCCCACCATCCCCCCAAAACACTGTGCTTGTGGCAGGGGGAGGCACTCAATTGTTAGAAATATGGGCATCCCTGAGTAGCCAGATAGGGGCTAAATTAGGGGTCCATGAAAAGACTGCTTTCAAAAGGAATACATATTCTTTGTAGTTTTTAATAGTATCATCACTTTTCAAAGTAAAAATTTATAAAAGCAAATTAAATTATACCCATGCATATATCTTTTCAAAACTATTCCCCACAGAAATAGACATTAATTAAATTATATTATCATAAGATGCAAGGTATTTCATGATATGGCCTCTATTATTCTTTCAGCCTCTAATTTTTATCACTCTTCTGCCTTGCAAGTTTTACCAATCTAAGCTACTGCTGTTATAACTATGCTTTTTAAATGCATACAATAATTACCTCACATACATTTACCATATTTTTCTAGGCTGTTGTTACTCAGTACAACGAGATTTCTTGACCCGAACTTTAATAAAATGAAGAAATTATAGAACACTAGGTAACCAAATATGTTCCAGAATAGTAACATTTTAATAATAAAAATATTTTTAATGATTATAATGGAGATCGTAACACAATGGGAAAAAAATTAGACTGGTAGTCCAAAATTCCAAGCATATTCCTAGTTTTAATTCAAACTTCTGGAGTCAGCAATAAATTACCAAGGGTAAATAATTTCACTCAAACTATAAAAATGCCCCTAGCGACTTTATATCAATATCTTTCACTACTTTTTAAAAATGAAGATACAGAAAAGTACAACTGTCTCGTAGGTTTTCTTTTGGTTTTGCCTTTACAGGAAATAACTTAGAGATCCAAAAATAAATATTTACTTAGGAGGAAGAGAAAATAAGCAGCCTTACGTTATTTTATTTTGTATAATGCATGATTTTGAATATTAAAAATGGAACAGATAGACCCATTAGCAAGGCTTATATAAATTTATTAAAATATAGCCTATTAAAAATGTAAATCAGCCTACATCCACATGTATAACACTATACATACTAATAGAAGACTTCCATTCGTACAAGTTTTCCCTAAGCATTGTACATAATCTTCTAGATCCACAAAACTCTTCTAAAGAATACTTACATTGGCAATATACTTGGTTATCTGATGCTTGTTTTTTAGAAGTTTTTCCCATAGTAACTGTAGGTGAAGAAGGACTAACTGGCGATGACTGACCAGAAGACTGGGATGTAGTTCCAAACTCAGAGGAATAATTAGAGCTATGTTGTTTGTCTGCTTTTCTTTCTTGATCAGCATTTGGACTTTTTGCTCTTTCCCCCATTGTTTTGAAAAATGGTCTCTAGTCACATAAATTCATAGATTGATGACAACACTGAAGAACATTTTCATAGTCTTCATAATATTATTTCCAGGCAATTTATTTTTTTCCACGATATATACTTAGTCCACATTCACATTAGCACCCAAGATACACTTTATTCCCTATAATTAAGGAAGAGGAAAGGAGACTCATCATGCATTCATGGAATACATTTCTACAATTAATTATAATGTAAAATACTAAAAGAAAAATAATATACCATATATAATTTTTATAAGATGCTATAATTTATCTATTTTCACACATAAGTTTTTGACAGTATTTGGACAAAAGACAGTTTCTGTCATGGCCTAGAAAGAAGATAACATGCAAAGTACTTAAATAAGTGTTAACTAATTTGATTCCCTTGAATCTTAAGAGTTATAATAAACATAAAACTTGAATCTTAACAGGGCAATAACCACCAATATTTTTCTTTTTTTGCTTAGTGGGAGAACGAACCTGCAAATCTGTGCAAAGAAAAATACCTAATATTTACTACAAAAAATGTAAAAATTAAGTATACTTTTAAAAAATTAAAAGAAAAGGCATTTGACAAAAAATATTTCCAAACATGACAGGAAAATGGTTACCATTTGTAACATGTAAACAAATACCTCACATTACCTAAGGAAAAATATGAGGACAAAATATATAAGACCCAAAAAGGCAATACAAATGATACACAAAAATGTTCATCCTTATAACATTTTTAAAGCTATCATATTATTAAATTTTTTTCAAAACAATAACACTGTTTGCAGAGCTGCCATCAGGAAAAATCCATGGAATTTTGGGGAAAAAAAGTTGGTAAGATGTATTAAGACTTTAATTGTTGTTCCTTCTCGCCCTGCAACCGGCTTCTGTATCATCATCATCTTTTTCTATTGCCAAAGATTGAACCCAGGGGTGCTTTACAAGTGAGCCACATCCTCAGTCCTTTTTATATTTTTTTTTAGAGATAGGGTCTCACTACGTTACTTAGGGCCTGGCTAAGTTTCTGAGTTTGGCTTTGAATTCTTGATCCTCCTTGCCTCAGCCTCCTGAGGTGTGCACCACCATGCTGGGCTAATTGTGCTTTTAATCTCTGATTCAATAAAACCATTTCTGGATTCTGAGAAAATGACTCTAAAAATAGGGAGAAAGTCATATGCAAATGTCTAATGGAGGACAGTAAAATTTTTTTAAAAATGGAAGCAACCTAGATATATAACCATCAGATTAATTAAGAATATAATTTATGTACTATAAAGTCCATACAGCATAGTATTTGTTTACAAAAAGTTTGTGTTCAAGAAAAATGCTTATGCTATTGTGGTAAAATAAACAAATTCCAACTAGTTTATATAGTATGATCTCAATGCACATATTTATTGAAAAAAAGATTAAATTACTAAGTATTCTTCCTATTTAAACTCTTGATCCTCCTGCCTTGATCCTCCTTTTAAAATAACTGAAAACAATTTACAAAGCAATTTACAATTTAGTCCACATTCACATTAGCAACCAGAAGATACACTTTATTCCCTATAATTAAGGAAGAGGAAGGGAGACTTATCATACATTCATGGATATAGTGTCTGCCTAAGCAACTTGGTTTAGATTTTTGTATCTCTCCTTTAAAATATTTTGTTTTCTAATACATTCACATTAGACTACTTTTAAAATGAGAACAGTTGCTTTTAATATTTGGAAAAAATAATCTTATTGATGAAATTAGCATTAATAGTATAGTAATCCTAGGAATAAATGAACAGATGCACAAGACTAAAATAATCAAAACGACCATCACTAAGAAACTGACCTTAGAAACTGGAAACATCCACACAATGCAGTACTACGGAGCTATTAAAATAATGAGGACTTTCTTTGTATATTTGCTAGCAATCTGAGTAATTCTCCAAAATATATTAAGAAAGGTAGATAGATAAGAGCATATATAGTGTGTAGTATGGTTTTGATATGTTTTTTCCCCAAAGGTTCCTATGCTGGAGGCTTGGTCTTCAGTGGAGCAGTGTTGAGATTGGTAGAACATTTAAAAGATGATGTCTAATAAAAGGTAATTAGGTCACAGGAGCATCACCCTTGGAAAAGATGAATGTTAATCTTCCATTAAATTCTCAAGAGAATGAGTTATTATAAAAAGACTCAGGCACCCTGATTCTCTCTGCTTCCTGTCTCACCATATGATCTCTTCTTTCATCCTTCATACTTTCATCCAGTGTATGACATCCACCATGAGGCCTTCATCAAAGGCTGAAGAACCAGGGCTACCCATTCATGGAACACCCCATAAAACTATGAGCTACATAAAGTTCTTTCAAATAAATTTCTTTCTTTATAAGTACACAGCCTTATTTATCAAAGGAGAATAACATATATTTTTTAAAAAGTGGAAAGATAAATCAAATATTTAATTTTTAAAAATGAGTTATCTAGGGTAGACTGTCCAAATAGAACTTTCATCAAGGATGTAAAGGTTCTATAATTTGTTATGTCCTGTGTAGTAGTCGGTCACATGTGGTACTGAGCTCTTGAAATGTTGCTACTATGGCTGAGAAATAAATTTTTAATTTTAATTAATTTAAAATGTAAAGGCCAAATGTATGGTGGTTAGCTTATTGAAAAAAACAACTATAGCATAACAGAGGAAAAAGAGCTTGGAAAAGGGATGGAAACTAAACTCTTGTATAAACCTATGTGTAGACTTGACTTTGAAAATAAATTTTTAAAAATAAAATTTTTTATAAAGCAATTCCTATAAATCAAAAGAAAATAAAACAAATCACTCTAACTGCATATATAATTAGTGGCAAAAATACACAAAGTAACCAGTTCAAATAACTTTAAAACACAACTTGACTTTATTTCCCCAGAGAGATATATCCCAGTGACAAAGCAATACATTAAGGGCTATTTTCAGTAACTGTATCATTGGTATTGTTATTCTCAGACTAATACATGTATTAAGATAAAGCAAATGAGTAATTATTGTTGTTGAGCATGGTCACTAGAATTTTCAACAGGAAAAGACAAAATTTATCTAATAATGTAAACTCTAAAATTCTGAAGTCCAAAATTTGAATTACAAGTATCAGTATGAACTTAAGATGACTTCTTTAAAAAAAAAAAGTCTTAGCTGTCCACTCAAAAATTCTAGAAATAAAAAACAAATGAACCAGGTGTGGTGGTGCATGCCTGTAATCCCAGTGGCTTGAGAGGCTGAGGCAAGAGGATTCTAAATTCAAACCAACCTCAGCAGCTTTTCAAGGCTCTATCTCAAAAAATAATGTGGCTCAGTGGTTAAGCACCTGTGGGTTTAATCACACACACACACACACACACACATCAAACGAGTTGTAATAAACTAGCACCCAAATGTGGTTTCTGAATGCCACTTCCCAATAAAAGAACTAAAGCTCCTTGTAAATGTCTAATTCCATGTCTGAGGGACGAAATATAAAAGATAAATCAGAAATCTAGAGGTTTGGTCATTTCAGAAAGCAAGGAAGATATCAGACACTACTGATGAACTACCAAAAGGGCTGAAGAGCCAATTTGAAGACGCTTCTGCTAGCCAAAGATGGGAAATGTTCATCATGCGTAGAATTGCATCAATAAGTGATTAAAACAGATCAAATATATGTAATCTCATATCATATATTTTTAAAAATCAGTCACCTTTGGAAGATGCTAGAGAACCAACTCATTAATTAGAAAATTGATACATAAAGGGGTAAAAATGAGTATATTGCCTATAATGCCAAAAGCTGTATCTTAAAATTGATACATAAAGGGGTAAAAATGAGTATATTGCCTATAATGCCAAAAGCTGTATCTTAAAATAACAATGTAGCACATGAGGGAAAGTATTTCTTTAGAATTATTTTAGAAAACAAAGGGAAAAGAAAATATTGCAGTGAAGGAATTAGAATATTGACATTTTGTAACCACTAATGAAATAATAAAGCTAGATAATGAATACCAATGGCTATAACCAAGTATTTCAGTTTGGACATACGGTATCCCCCCAAAAGCTGCTGTTAATAGAATATTCAGAGGTGAAATGATTGGATTATGAGCACTATACACTTATCAGTCCATTCTAGTTTAGATGGACTGAATGCTAACTGTAGGCTATTGGAAAATGGCTGGAGGAGTGGTCATAGGGGGTATGTCCTGAAAGGGTTCATCTTCCCTGCAGCTCTAATTTGCCATGAGGTAAGCAGTGCTCCCTTTGCCACATCCTTCTGCCATGGTATTCTGCCTCCCCTTGCACCCAGAACAATGGAGTCAGCCCGCTATGGACTAAACCTCTAAAACCATGAGTCAAAATGAACTTTCTTCCTCTAAGTTGTTCTTATCAGCTATTTTGGTTACAAAAAGGCAAAGCTAACATGTTGTGAAAACAAAACAAAACAAACAGATATTATGTGCCTCCTCATAGTACACAACAATACCTCTGAAGTATTTGCCTTCCCTCCCCAAAGAGTTAAATCTAAATCTGATCAATCCTCTAAATGTAAATGACAATTTACAGAAAATACAAGGTGTTAGATTCTTATGCAAAAGTAACTCCATTTTAAAAATCATCACCTACCCACCCAGGCATGACCTTCCCATTAGGCTTGCCCCCAAAGAGTCCCTAATTACTGAAACCCCAATACAGATACCAAGTAATAATCATAGGACCAGAAGGGTTATTTTTTACTAGTTCATTGTACATGACTATATAATAAATAAGTTTTTTCCAGCAGGCTACTGCACCTTGCAGAAGGGCAGCCTGGCAGATATTCTCTGTCAATAAATCTTTGTTTGAACTCAGAGATGTGTCTCTCATGGATATTTGCACCAGCCACGCTAACACAAGGGACAGAAGGATAGAAGTACAAGGAAAATAACAGCAAAATCCAAACTGAGGCAAACTCTACAAGAAAAATGTTTCTTCAACAAATAAATTA